ATAACTTGTTTTGCCAATTTTCTAACTGCTCTTGTTCTTTTTGTACAACAGACCAAGATCTGTGATGGAAATATTGATTCCAATGTGCTAAATTGGTTCACGAGATCAGGTGCTGATGGTTTTGACCAAGTAGGTGAACTTGGACTTTTTGTACTCATTAACTAGAATTGTCATGTTTTCTTTGCAGTTTTGGGAGGTAGGGGAATGAACTTGATTAGCCTGCTTTTATACCTGTACTTATGAATGATGTGTGCTTCTTTTTTTAAATCTGCACTTATTGTCGCAAGTAAATTGAACTGATATGATTGTTCCTCAATTTTGGGCGGTGGATATAAACTGTTATGATTATCTGATTTTTATTTGTACTTCTTAATTTCAATTTCCCTCTTTTATTTTATTGTTTGGAGGCTGAGTTTTCTGTTTCATTATGATTTGGTAAATTCATTTTTCCTCTGCGATTTTTTTTCCAGCTTCTTTTCCCTACATTTGATCCGCCGTCATTTGTGGCTACCATGAAGCCTAGCGAAGAATCTGGGCATTGGTGCTTGATTGTTCTGAATTTGAGGTTCTGTCATTTTGAGTGTCTTGATTCACTCCGTGATGAAACCTGGGGTGATGCAGTTAGATCCTTAAGGAATATGACAGATAATATAAAGAAGCTTTGGAGGGAGTCGAGTGTAGACAGGTCCAAACCGTTCTCGCTGATGCATATTGATGGTTTCTCTTGCGAGTTTGTGCGGGTGCCGCAGCAGGAAAACATGTGAGTATTTGTTTTTAATGATTTTTGCTGGTTGTTTTTGTTGCTGGGAGGATGTTGTTCCTGTATTTTCGGATTTGTGTTGTACCATTTTGTTTTTTCCTTTGTTTACATGCATGATTGTGGATTCTTTATGCTACAAAACTGCAAGACCTATCATTGCCGGGAGGATGGTGTAATTGAAATGGTCGATTACAGCCATGAAGACATTCTTGACATTAGGAAGACTTTGATGTATACCTGCGCAACTAGCGATGTGTTTGATGTTGACTTCCGGGGTTTGTTTGGCATCGAACCCTGTACGTGTGCATGGTCTTTTGTAATTTTTGGCATCTTGTACTTCTCTATTAGTACTATCATGAATTATGTATTTGAACTTACCCTTTGTACGGTCTTCTTATTTTTTTGTTTTTGTTTTTTCATGTGAATGGCTAGATCTTGGTGAACATGACTACAGGTTCTTTGGCAGCCAGTTCTCGGAGCTCGAGCGCGTAGCTATTGATCTTAGCCAGGGGCGTTCTCCCGAAAAGACAAGATCTTGTGTTATGAAGGGGCGGTTGGGAGCTCTGAGAGGTTCTACAGCTGCTTGTGCAGAGAGCCCTACTAGACCCAAGAATCCCATTGTGGAATTGATAGACAGCGATGATGATGTGTTCAACAAGATTGCTGGCGTTGGAAGAGTCATGAGGAGCGCTACTGCCAAAGGTTTATGTCCCCTTGCTGGAATAGTGGCTCGTAGAGCTGGTGGTGCTAGGAAAGATCCTGCTTTGGATTCTGGCAATGTTGTAAGCACAAAGCGTGCGCCCAGAGCTCCTATAAAGTTTTTCTCCCCTGTGCAGCAGCTTCACCCTCATAAATTCCCTCACCTGGACAAGGCTCGCAGGTTGTATAATCTGTTGCTTAGTGATGAATGGCGTCATAAGTATGCCGAGTGAGCATCCCTCATTATTTTTCCTCTTCTTTTTCTTCTGTTGTTTGTAACTGCTAGATAAATATGACCTGAACTGTTCCTTTTTATACAACTTGAACTGCTATGAATGCCTTATCTTGCTTCTCCTTCTTTTGTTCTTTGTGTGTGCTACAGGAATACATTCTCAATGATACCTCAGCCTGATGAAAGCGTAACTAGCTTCACTAGGAATCGCATCTGGGAAGTTTTTTCACCTGGGCAAATGATGGAGGGTGATGTAATGGACTTCCTCATTGATGATTGGAAGCAAGATCCTGAGAGAAATGATGATTTCGCATCTGGGAAAAGGGTATTGCTGAGTCCATATTTTATCACGGTAATCAATTAGATCGGTTTCTTTCTATTGAACAAGACTACCTATTGTTTTTATGAGTTTTAAGAATACTTTGCTTGTTGATCCTTTTCCTCTATCTATTTCTATTTTGGCTTTTTTGCAGGTTGTGCTTGAATGTATGTTTTATGGTGATGAAAATAAAGTGTTTAATGTGGAGAGTGCAGCGAGACATTTCAAGAGCTATGTTAAAGATAAGGAAGGCTTGCTCAGTGCCGACCTTGTGAGATCTACTAGCTGATTTTCAATTTTATTTGTTTGTTGTGATGCTGGTTTTTATTTTGAAAATTTAACATCTCTTTTTTGGTCATTTGTTTTTAGATCATGATGCCTCTATTCAAGCCTATAATTTTAGGAAAGGATAAGAAAGTGAACCATTATTCCTTATATGTCATGAATCGGTACCGCAGTAGCGTTGACATCCTTGACTCTTTACCTTATCCTAAGAACCGCCGTCCTTCAAAGAACACCTATCATAAAGACTGCGAGAAGATTGTGAGTGACATTTATTATCTGTACTGGATTAATTTTTCTCCATCTTTGTTTCTGCTTTTTCTGAGACCTAAAACTGTGTGGTTTCTTTTGTTTTTTTACAGATTTCTAGATTGGTGAAAGTAATGAAGGTTGTGTATGGTGATGCTCAGTACAATGCGAGCAAGCAGCCCAATTGGGAGCTGTTTGAAAACAAACCAACATTTGTCAAGGTTCCACTTCACAGGGAAAATTGAATGTGGCCATTATACTCTGAAGTATGCGGGATGCTATGATGGTGAAAAGATCGTTGAGAACATTTGAGATAATGACGTGGGTTCTTGTTGAGCTTTTTACTTTCTATTTTTGGCTTATCGTGTATCCTTTTTTTATATGTCATGATTTTTGATAATTTGTTTTATTGTTTTGCAGCCATGCATTGTTGATTGGAACGCTGAGGATCTATATAGAGTTGTGTTCAACCGGAATAGCCAGCTTGTGGTGACGGAGCTTCCCAAGGAGGTTCAGGCTTTGGCTCCTGATGCATAGGAGAAATGGTCATCATTTGCGTAGTGAATGGGATAGTTGTGTGATATATCTCTTGAAAACATTGTAGGCTCTATTTGTAGTGTTTGATGTCTTGTCGAGTACTATGTAATAACTAGTATATTTTCTGTTGTGTTTAAGTGTGGCACAATGTTTAACAAACTTTTTTTCCATGTTTATTGTGTGGTTGAATAGCTGTTTCACTTGTGTATGTTTCATCGGGAATTCGTTTTGGTTAAGTTTTATTTTTTGTACTAAAGACTTATATACCAGTTGAACTGAAAACACCTTTTTCAAATGTATTTACGAGTTGTTGCTGAGAAAGTGAGAATTATTTTATTTTTATCTGATTCCAACCTAAGTTGGACCTTTATAGTTTCTATACTCTCGTTTTCTTGTACTTATGATATAGTTCTGTTAGTAATGATTTGTAATCTCATTCAGCGTAAGGCTTTCAAAATTTGGTGCCAAATTTTTGTTTGAACTTCTTGAAGTTTAGTAGTTGAACTTCACAGTAAAAGTTAAAGCACTGGTTTAAATTAGCTACGTTTAAGAGATAGCCCTATCAAGTTCAAAACTACTTCTTTCTCAAGGCATTAATTGGTCTCATCATAGCACTTACCGAATAAACTAAGTTGTACTGAGATTTCAATTGTGCTAGGACTTTGATTAATTATTTATTTTTTGTGTTGTTTGAGGCTAGTACGTCTTCTGTTGTGTTTCTTGTGATTTTTTTCCTTTGTCGAACTGATATCTTTTTGATTTAGTTTTGGCCTTGTTTTTTCTAGGATGTGGTTCTTCTCCAGGCAATGTTTGGTATAATCATAGCACTTGCCATATAGACTAAGTTGTACTGAGATTTCAGTTGTATTATTACTGTTATTCTTTGTGTGTCACTGTTTTCGGGAATGCGAACTGAAGCTTCCCATTCCTTTTTATATTTTGTAGAATGAATGTACCGTGTGTTCAAGTGTACCAGAACTTTCAGTCCTAGCATGCTAGTGACTAGGAAATACGTACTGATGGTTCTTTGCTTTTCCTGTTGCAGTACTTAGTGAATTTCTAACTACTATTAGCACGATGCTTTTAGTACAGAATGTTGTCCTCGGCTGAAACTTAGTCTTTTTAGTGTTCTTCTGAAACTAAAAACTGATTTTTTTTAGTGTGATAGTACTACCATCCATGTCTAAGCTGTATTGAGCCTCCAAGGCTACTATTTGCTTTTGTCCTTAGTCTGCCACTGTTTTTTTTGCGAAAATATTTATGTGTTATTTTTATTTCTCCATGACTAGTGCTGCGTGGCAGCCATCAAGTTTCAGCTTCAACCTACTTCAACTTCAAATGATGGATCAACAAAATAGGAAGCTAGCAAACTTGTTGGATGACATAAGCAAATGATGTACTTGATAAACATAGGCAAACTTGTTCAAACCCTGACACACATAACATAAGGTAGCTGGTTAAACATAACAAAAGCAAACTACAAATTTGAAACAACAAGACTAAGGACAGGCAGAAGCGCGAGCAACACGAATGCAGACTTTCATGCATCTTCATCCCCGAAGTTGCAGTGGTAGTAGGGGTCAGCCGCCTGCTCTTTTGAAATATCCCAACCTTTCACGATGTTGTCGATTGTCTTCCATGACTTGTACGTTGCGTACACATCTATTCCTGCATATGTGATGAGGTTGTCTGGCAGCGGGCTGGTCCCCCACAGTTTGTGGTCTGCCCTGTCCATCTTCTTCTTCATGCCTTCGTAGAACGGGTGGATGACGCCGCCTGCAACATCGGCCAAGGAGTCGTAGTATTTGGAGGTCTTTGGATCTTTCCACTTGCGCTGCATGTCGATGAAGTTAACCAGACTTCTCCAGCATCTGCTTGTCACCTCCAATGTTGAAACCGACAAATGTGTACAATTTCTCCTCCTACAGGAAGTCTTTGAGGCGCTTGGGCCTGCAAGGGGGGAGACACACATTTAAAGATTAGTCTTCTTTATTGAAGATTTAATTCTTCTGCTTTTTTTGGTTTTACAAGTGATAATCCATGAGGTAGATGCTTATATATTATGAGTCATGCATGAATGTAGTTCAGAAACTAGTACACAAAGTCCTGAAATTAAATTCAACTACACCGTGTTATTTTTTTCTTTTTTGCTATCTTCATTGCTTCACCAAATTCAAGAATCATTTTACCAGAGTCAATGATATATGTGCTGCTTGATTCAAGTTTAGTTTTCTTTTTTGTTGAATAAAAGACCTATACCAGTGCTTGATACATCTTTGTGCATTAATTCTATATCAAGTTCAGAAATTAATTTGAGAAACATGTGCATCAAGATATGGACCTATACCACTTCACCAAAGATCTTTTAATACATCAATTCTATAAACTATACTAGTGCATCAAGATCAGAATCTATGCTAGTACATCAAGTTTAGAAATTAATTTGGTGCATCAAGTTCAGAATGCTATAAACATTTTTTCAGATGCTAATCTGGTGAAACAATCCACTTCATAGTTTCAGAAATGCATGTAACTTTAGAAACATGTACTCGTGCATCCACTTGATAAACTATAGTAGTTCATCTAGTTGGGAAACAGGTTTAATTAAGTTTTTAGTGAGTAGTACCAGTACAACAGATGAATGAACAGTAGTATGGGTTACCATTTTGTGGCTGCTGCGATGTGGTATACCAAGCAGAGTTCCTCGACGCACAACTGCAGGACTGCCGCCATTTGTGGAGGTTCTTCTTGGTTGGTGTACTCCACATCAACTCTGATGAAGCTCGGATACAAACCACCGCCCTTCATCCTGAGCCTGCTCATCACCTCATCGCCCTTGTCTGGTATGCTAGTGTAGACGATCTCCAGTGTCTCCTTGCCGTGGAGCTCAACCCCTTTGAGCGTTCTGGTGCACTCGCGCTTCTCGTCGGGGACGTGGATGTCGACGAGGTTGCTGCTCTTGTTCGACGTCTCGCCATGGTGACGCTTGGTGGACGGTTCCTCCACCATCGCCTTCCTCCGGCAACTGTGGGCTTGGGAGAGAGAAGTTTTTGGTTTGTGTGCAGTGGAGATGGATGCGGCAATGGTGGTTCTGTGAATGAGGCAGAGATGGAAGACAATGGGGTATTTTGCAGTGCGCGACGGTGGTGTGTGGGAGGCGGTTCGTCGGGGGCGTGGGTGTAGTGGTCGTGGGGGTCGCCATTTGCAGTGCTCTGTGGCAACCGCCCAGTGGGTGCCGGGGGTGGTGGCCTGGGAGAACTAACCGTCCAAGACAAATGTTATTTACTGCTGCACTGATTAGTCTTGTCAAGTTGTACTTACGATCTGCTAAATCCCACTTGCACGTCTCTGCGGTGGTGATGATGGCATTTTGCACTGTTTAGGTGACGTATGCTATGTGATGTTTTTCGGTGTGGATGTTAAGTATTGTTTTCCATTGAAGTCTTATACACTAGTTTATCTCAAAACATTTTTTCAGTGCCCTGGGAGTTGTTGCTCAAAACTTGTACTTATTTTATTTTTATCTGTACCAACCTAAGTTAGGCCTTTATAGTTTTTGTATTCTCATTTTAGTGCACTTATGGTTTAGTACTGTGTGAACTAAATTGTAATTTCATACAGCACACGGGTTTGAAATTTGATGTCACAGTGGTGCGAGTGGCCTGACTGATCCTGTTGTTTTAGTACTGATGTCATATGTATGTTTGAACTGAGTTTTTTTTTCTTTTTTGGATGGGGGTGGGGGTTTGAGATTATTTTACGACCAGATCGTTCATTGTGGTGTGGACAGATTTTATATAAATAAGAAATTTAGCAGAATTGACAAATAAATTCAGTTTGAACTTTTTGCATTTTAGTAGTTGAACTTGTCAGATTTTATATAAATAAGAAATTTAGCATAATTGACAAACATTATATGTTTGAACTTTTTGAGTTTTAGTAGTTGAACTTGTCAAATTTTATATAAATAATAAATTTAGCATAATTGACAAACATTATATGTTTGAACTTTTAGAGTTTTAGTAGTTGAACTTGAAAGTAATATTTAATTTGGTTTTTTAAATAATGTTTGAACTTTTTGAGTTTTAGTACTTGAACTTGTCAGATTTTATACAAATAAGAAATTTAGCATAATTGACAAACATTATATGTTTGAACTTTTTGAGTTTTAGTAGTTGAACTTGAAAGTAATATTTAATTCTGTTTTTTAAATTATGTACATTTAATTGATAGGCTATTAAGTTCTGTTCTTTTTAGAGGTTCATTGTTTTTGTATCATATTTTTTCCTTTTTTCTTGTAGAGGTTAATTGACAAACATTTTTCTTGTAGTTTATATTTCTTTTGTCCCGCCCTCTGGTTTGTATACCTGGGCTTATTGGTGGGGTGTTTTGTTGACGATGTGAGATATTGGGCCGTTTTCCGGCCCAGATAGCTCGTCCGCGCGGCTGTGCAGTGCGTCATGCCCGTGCGCTCTGGGTTTAGTCCCACCTCGCTAATCGAGGGGGCTCCGGACCTATTTATAAGCGCAGCCGAGGCTCACCAGTCGAACTCCTCTGAACACTTACCTGAGCGCTTATACACGACGCTCTCTCTCTCTCTCTCTCTTGACCTATGGGCCCTGGTCGGCGGGTCCTGTGTTGTGGGGATTACTAGGGATTCACCCACGGGCTCGAGTTCAAGTATCTAGCATTGTCAGGGCCTGCGCCTGACCTTGGACGGTCAATTTTTTTTGTTTTTTTGTTTGTTTGTTTGAATCTAGTACTTGACTCCACTAGTAACTTGGACTGATACTTTTTGTTCTAGTTCTTGTCAGTTTTGTGTGAGTGTAATCTTTTTCATTTGAGTTTTTTGCCTTCTTTTTTGTGTTTGTTTTTGTGTTTATTCTCAAGTGTCTTCTGGTGTCATTTGTAGAACTATGGTACTTGCGTGTAGACTGAGTTGTACTGATAGTGCATTCAGAGTAGCGCTTACGGACTGGTGCTTCTTTGTATTTTTTATTGTAGTAAGTATGTACTATCCGATCAAGTGTACTGAGTTGTACTGACATGGAGCAACGTTGTGTGATTAGTTGCATCATAACTAGTACTTTAGAGCAGGGACAACGTTCCATTCAGAAGCCACTTTTCATTTCTGAAATGATGGATTAACAACATACGAAGGTACCAAACCAAACTTATATAATGAGATAAGCAAAACATTGTACTTGATGACATAACTAAACTTGTTCAAACATGACAAGCACGACATAATCATACTGGTTCAACCCAATAAGAGGAAACTACTAATTTGAAACAACAAGATAAAAGGCAAGCACAAGCGGAAGTAAAACGAAGGCAGGCTCTGATGTATCTTCATCCCGTAAAGGGGCAATAGGGGCGGTCATAGTAGTTTTCAGCCTCCCGCTCTTTGGCATATTCCGAACCATCTGTGATGTAGTCGATTATGAACCATGACTTGTATGTGGCGTACGCATCTACTCCTGCGTACTCGGTGAGGTTATCTGGCAGCGGGCTGGTCCCCCACAGTTTGTAGTCTTCCTGCGTGTTGATCTTCTTCTTCATGCCTTTGTAGAATGGGTGGATGACGCTGGCTGCAACATCAATCAAGGAGTCGTACTCTTTTCCGGTGTATGGAACTCTCCACTTGCGTTGAATGTTGATGAACTTGTTGGGGTTGATCTCCATACCGGACAACTTCAGCTTCTCTTTGTCGCTTTCAATGCTGAAACCGGCAAATGTGAACAACTTCTCATGCTGCAGCATCTCGGTCAGGCGCTTGGGCCTGCAAGGGGAGAGACATTTTGAATATTAGCATTACTTTGATGTTTGAATTATTCATTTTTGTTTTCTTTTACAAGCAATGAATCCATGAAGTAGTTGTTTATGTAGGATAAACAATGGATGAATGTACTTCAAAAACTAGTAAAGAAAGTTCTGAAATTAAATTAAGTACATCATGTTATTCTTCTTTTTGGATTATACATAGTTTAGTCAATGTTGTATGTTCTGCATTGGTACTAGTTCAGTCTACTTTTGTTGAATAGGATAACACATAACCAGTGCTTCACCAAGTCCTTAGTTTATTTTCTTATGAAAATAACATTAGATCAAATTCAGAAAATACTTCACTACATAAAGTTCACAAACATCTTTTTAATACATCGAGTACATAGACTACTCTATTGGATCAACTTCAGAAACTGCACTAGTCGATCAACTTCAGAATTTAATCTTCCGCAAGATTTTCCAAATAGTAATCCAGTGCATCAGGTTCAAAAATACATTTATAGTATATCTACTTGAGAAAATGCAGTAGTGCATCCACTTTTCACAAACCACACTAGTACATCTTGTTGGGAAACAAGTCTGATTAAATTTTCAGGATACAGTACTAATAAAATAGATAAACCATATACAGGGCAAATGAGTAGGATTGCTCACCATTTTGTGGCCACTGCGATGTGGTACACAAAGCAGAGGTCGTCGACGCACAACTGCAGGACTGCTGCCATCTGGGGAGGTTCATCTTCGTTGGTGTAGTGCACACCAACGCCGACGATCCTACGATTCGGACTCTTGCCGCCAAGCTTCCTCCAGAGCCTGGAGATCACCTCGTCGGCCTTTTCTGGTACGCTGGTGCAGACGATCTCCAGCGTCTCGTTGCCGTGGAGCTCAACCCCTTTGAGGGTTGTTGTGTACTCGCGCTTCTCGCCGGGGACGTGAATGTCGACAAGGTTGCTGCTCTTGTCCGACGTCTCGGCATGATGACGCTTGGCAGACGGTTCCTCCGCCATCGCCTTCCTCCGGCGACTGTGGGCTTGGGAGAGAGAAGTTATTGGTTTGTGTGCAGTGGAGATGGAAGCGGCAATGGTGGTTTGTGGGAATGAGGGAGAGATGGAAGAGAATGGTTTTTTTTGTAGTGCGTGGACGGGGATTTGTGGGAGGCGGTTCGTCGGGGGCGTGGGTGTAGTGGGTGTTGTGGCATGGGGTCACCGTTTGCAGTCCCTTGTGGCAACTGCTCAGTGGGTGGCGCGGGTGGAGGCGTGGAAGAACTAACCGTCCAAGTTAAATGGTTTTTACTGTTGAACTGACTAGTCTTGTCAAGCTGTACTTATGACCTGCTAAATCCCACTTGCACGTCTCTGCGGTGGTGATGATGGCATTTTACTGTTGCACCGATTCGTATAGTCAAGCTGTACTTATCAGCTGCTTATCCCACTTGCATGTGTCAGGGGTGGTGTTGATGGAGGTCTGAACTCCTCTACTGTCGTACATGGACTCGTGATTGAAGTGTAATTGAACGTACCAAATACCAGTGAGACTATGTGTGTTGCTAATGTTTTTTTAAAACAATTTTCGTATTTTTTAAAGGATTGTTTATATCAAGATAACCTGTGAGTATTTTTTACAGATTCATTATATTTTCATCAGTACAGGATGTATTATATTCGCATTTTGCTTGAGGTAATTATTTTTATGTACTGATGGTCTTTCTGAATTGGGACTGGCAGAAGCAGGCATAGCTTTGTTTTTTCAAAATGATGTTTTTTTTGAGTCGTTCACGGGTGTGTTTGTTTTACTATGCCTTTGTACTGACGACTGAGAATTATCAAAACTGATGTACTACAAGAGTTTAAATTTTTCCTTGACATATTTTTGCTGAGTTACTAGTCGACAGTAGCGTTTGCGTTATATATATCGAGATAAGTTTTTTCAAATTTATTTGTGACTGCATTCAAAAGGATTATCAAATGGTTTACATAATAATGTCACTGCTCCAGCGGGCACAAATCAGAAATTATATCAGTACTGATGTGTACTCTTCCTTGTATTGACGACTGAGAGTTATCAGTACTGGTGTACTACAAGAGTTTAAATTTTTCCTTGACAATTTTTTTTGCTAAGTTACTAGTTGACAGTAGCGTTTTGTGTCAGATATATCCATATAAGTTTTTTCAAACGTATTTGTGACTGCATTCAAAATGATTATCAAATGGTTTACATAATAA